CGGAGCTTGCGGAGCTTGCAAAGCTCTTGCGGAGCTTCCGCCCGCCGGGCCCGGCCGGTCCGCACGGTCCGCGGCGGTCGAAGGCGCTGCCTCCACAACCCCCACATGCGCTGCCGGGTCTGGGCCCCTCTTGGGCCGAGCAGCACCTCGCAGAAGCGACTGAAGACTCTCGCAGAAGGCTCTAGGAGAAAGAGCTTGCAGAAAAGCGAAGCGGTGCGCGCGCGGCGGTGTGCGCCTTCGCGGGCTCCTTCGGCTCTTTTCTCGGCCCTAGGCTTTCGAAAGAGATGAGACGCTCAGGTGAGGGAGCCCTAGCTCGAACTCCCGAACCCCGAAAGCCGCCTTGGCCTTGGCGAACCTGCTGGGCCGAGAGGGGTCGAGAAAAGGTGGAAGCATCTCTCTGGTCTTCTCGAGAGCGGCCTCTGACTCTCCTCTCCGCTCGTCTCTTCTTTTCTCACTGAGATTCCAAGGAGAGAAGGCTCGACAGGCACACGACGTGTCCTGGTGCCTAGGTGGTGCAATCCCAGGCTCGGCTAGGGGGGTATCTGGGTTTCCAAGCAATTCCTATAATGGTAGGAAAGTGGTCCAAGCAGGCGCCTCGTTGCACGGAGGCTCGGCCGCTGGCCACCAACCTGAGGCGACAGCGAGACGCGAGACCCGAAGTCCGGGGTTTTGTGAATTTTGGGGCTCCGGGCTGAGAGGAGCGCGGAGGCCCAAGGCCTGGCCTAGGCGGCCCTGGGCGGTGCCCCGCAGCACCCAGCGGCGGACCTGGACCCAGCCGGCCGCCGCTGGCCATGGCCGCAGCTGCTCTCTCTTCAGACTTACTATGTGTGATTCTTTATGGCCATGGGTTTGGCCCATTTGGCCCAGAGAGCTGGTTATGGGATGCCTTCCCTTTGCCAAAGCGGCTGCGCACAGGGCGACTCTGGCATCGACACGGAGCACTCACCGATGCTTCGGCCTTTCACCACGGCGCTCTCTGCCGCAGGCTTTGGCGGCTGAGTGCTGAGCCGCAAGCCAAGTAGCCTTGCAACCTCTCACGCTTCAGGAAGCACGTCTGCGGCAATTCAAACTCTTCGGGTGTTGTAGGACCTGCAACCGGCTGCAAGAAGGCTGCATGACGAAAGACTGCGCAGACATCAAGCGTCGATGTGGCCCCTCACCTGCATGTGGGGCACTTCTGCCCCAGGATGTGGTACTCCACTGATGATGAGCGCTGACAGTCGTTGCCTCAAACTGCGCCATACAGTGCACCAGATGTCGCACGTACTGACACGGAAAAGACCTTGTAGCCAAGCTGCAGATAATGCTCGTCAGCTGCCTCTTAAGTGCGGTTCCAGCAAAGCGAGGGGCGCGCACAGCAAGACAGTACACAGGCCTGCACTCCAAGGGCATGGGAGTCTCTTCAATTTGACGATCCATTTCATGCCAAAGCTCGTCATAGCCATAGAGGCTCACCTCGAAGGCCCGGCGGGGGCCCGGTCAGGCGGCATGGCAGACTTCGGCAGAGGCTCGGGCGCTGCAAATCGGACAGCGCAGCGACTGCAATCCTCGGGGGACGGCCACACGGCGGGACTCTCATGCGCCCATGCGGTGCGTCATGCGGCCCGCATGCGCCTGCAAAGGAGTTCTGAAGCTCCCGGAGGCAATCCTCAGAAGAGCTCGGCCGAGCAAGTGCTGCCGTTTACGCCAGCTGGTGCCTGATGGATGGTGTGTCCGCACTGCAAGATCGTCACCTGCGTTGTGGACTGGAAAAGGTCCTGAAAACAACACCAGAGCGATCACGTGACATCATGACATAGGCCACCATCCGACACCGCGTCCTGCAAGCACACGGGGCAGTTGCGCCGCATTGCGTTCTCCACGCAAATGTGGGAATCCTTGATCTCCGACGGATAACCTGAGCGGCTGAGCGGCCTCTGCGGTGCGATGCAGCGAGAGAAGCGCGGCGTTGTTTTCTGGGCATCGGGCAGGAGCCGCAGGCATCGCAATGGACTTGGCGGCTCACGGTGCTTAGTTCCCTATCACAGAGTCCTGCCGCCCAATCGAAGCTTTTGCCTTTGGGACTCGGGACAGTTGACGTGGCACGGCTACTCGGTCGGCTACTGTGCCCGATCGTGCGCCATTGCGATTGGGCAAGTTTTTGACTTCCACGGACTTTTCGCAGAATTGCTTATGCGGGGCTGCACAACGAGGAAAACACGAGCTTCAAGGCCTCACAGAAACCTCTCCGATCGAGTTTGCTCAGAAATGCGGAGACTGAGACTTCGACTTCAGTTTCAGCGATGAACGGGCCCTGGGCTGCCAACATCAGATCGCTGAGTCCGGAGCAGTAGTTTTCACGTCCACCAACACGGCAGAGTCCGCATTTTGCACAGTGGAAAACCTTCTTCCGCAAACCGTCCTGGGCGGTGCAACAAGCGGTGCCCAACCCCAACGTCATTTTGTGAATGCTTCGCATATGCGAAGCCTCGGAACAGGAAGGCCCAATGTACCTCCGACAATAGTACGCTATGATGGCAGCTCATAACCCTCCTTCTTCCTGAATACGGATGCTCAACAACAACTCAAGATTTAGTCCAGGACAGATGCACTTTCGTCATCATCCATGTTGATGGCATGTGCTGTGCTAGACGTGACACTTCGTCGGTAGTTTGCCCTGCACGTGAAGGATTTGCTTCAAGAAACAAGCACAGTTTCCAAAATTGCCCATCGTCTCGGGGTTCTAGGCTGGGCATGTCATTGTTTTACCCCCCGTATCGTTTTTCTAACCCCCTTATCCCTTCAATGATTGACCCCTGGGCCCCTGAGTATCTTTTCTTCGACCCCCATATCGTTTCTAATTGACCCCGTCTATCTTTATTAACACCCCATCTATCTTTTCTTCCATCCCTCATGGCCTTGTATCCTCTTCCTAGCGCGACTTATCTGGGATCCTTCGTGCACGGGACAAATGATGACCCCCCCATTTGTCCTGCGCAAACGGACGACGAGAATGTGCAGACAAAAGGCTCTTGAATGATTGGAAGCTGCTGAAAAAGGCCGAAGGCAACCACATGTTCAGCGATATTTTACGATGCCGGCAGTTGCAACCTTTTTTTGTTTACACGAATACGACTACGCCATGAGCGAAGCACTAACACAGCTTTTCTATTCAGGAAGCCTAAGCACTAGTCGCGGTAGCATACACAGCATGATGACTGTCCATGATCAGACAACTGAAAAGACTCTCATCTGGCGGTGCCCGCGAAGATCTCAATCACGAGTGGGGCCAAATCATGTAGAAAAAGCGTCTGACAAGTAGTTGGCGTGGGCATGGCGGTCGTGGCTGAAGCGGTCACCGGGCTTGACGAAGATCTGAAAGAGTTCAGTGGCAGGTCGATACGCCACTCGGCGGCATTTCGGGTCAGAGACCGATGTTGCGGCCGCATCCTGAGTTGTCGTTGGAGAAGCCGACGGCGTAGCAGACGTTGAAGTCGATGCAGTTGAAGAAGTCGCCTGAAGTCATTGGGCGGGTTGTGGTCGGGTAGTCGAAAACCGGAGTCCTGCAGCCATTGGTGGTCTCGATGACTGAGTCTGTAGGTATCACGTACACAGAAACCAACCACGAGCAAGCGGTCACCAGTCCACGAGCAGGTAGCATGCAAGCGTTCCGATGGGAGGCGTTGCGGCCCCGCTGCAACATCCAAGAGATAGCCGAGGCGCTTGGTCGAAGTATCAGGACACGGGTGTTGTCCTTTACCTTCCACCCAGACCTGCCCATCCGAGAAATGCGACCCGGGCAAAAGCAAATTGCAATGCCTATGGTCGTTGTTGCGATCAGAATGAAGCGGCGCTTGTAAGTTGAAGAAGAGGCCCACAGAGGAAAAGCAGGCATCAGGAAACTCAGCCACCAACACGTTGGCAAGCAATTGTGTCGCAAAAGGAAACGTGCTAATTTTCACTCAAACACAAGCGCCTGCGGAGTACACAAGTCAGCACATTGGGCTCAAATGAATTACGGAGCTCGCACAAATAAAACAAGTACTCAAGTAAATACCGGCCAGGAAAACAAATGGAAAATACGTGTACATGCAGTACGAGTACAAGGCGTGCAAAGTTTTGCACCCCGCCTAAAGCATGCCGAAGTCCAACTAAGGCTACTGCTTTCAAACACAACTTTGCGACTTCAAAAGCCACACTGTACGAGAGCTCTAAGCTGCTACACTAGGGCCGGTATGACAAAGAAACAAAAGGAGTACAACTAGTTTCAGTACAGCTCCGGACTGGGTTTCACTCGCGTGCACAAGCTCTGCCGAAGCGGTCGTTGGCTTGACCTACCGCTACCTACCGTCTTTGACACTAGAGACTACGAACGCATTTGCGCTGTCTGCCTACGGAAGTCGATGAAAGATGCAAGGCATCCCACACCAACTGTTGAATGCTTGACTCGGGCAAGCGGACCCGGCACAAGAGGTAAGAAGAGCAGAAGCTTCACACAAGTGATGCAAAAGTAAGCTGACTCGAAGCACGGCGCTGAGAGAGGCTGACGATTCATGCGGGATCATGCAAGCACAATTTGATAATCAAGAAAGTGTTTGCCCTGTACGCAAAACAGCCGAAGGAAGCCTACAACCAACGACTAAAAGTATTAGAACCTCCTAATTAAGGTCCAGCAGTGGCGGAATGCATCATCGCCATCACACGTGTCAGCAATGCACTCAAAGTGCACACATTCTCGGGTTTGCCAAAATGGCATGCGTCACAAGTATTGATGGTGCAAAATGCACCATATGCACATTCAAGAAAGCCATACAAGTATATGCTCAAGATCATCGGCACCTGAAGTTAACAGAAGGGTCCAGGACCCAGCAACATGAGCATCCAAGCTATAATACAGGTGGATATATACAAGATGCCCCATGGTATCAACACGCCGAGTGTTGACACCAAGAAAGCATCGCATCAAGAGCATTTCAAGTGGCCATCAAGAGAGGCTTTGCACATACATCATGCACCGTCACTCAAGGATTGCATTTCTTGCATGCACGGAGTCCGCGGTTCTGTGCTTCGTGGCGCTCGTACGCCTTCACACGATCGCACCCATCAAGCTTAAAGCACCGGAGACGATGATAGCAGCGGCCCGTGTGCGACACCCACACGAGGCTCCCACGGTGGTTCATCCTCCGTGCCACGGCGATAGGGTACCCGTGCAGCTCACGGAACGACTGCGTCGAAAGCTGCGAACTCATTGACTCTGCTGGTGTTCCAGGTGCTGATGCATGGTCAGCAGGAGGCACATGAGCCTGCACTGCATTCATCGCACCAGTGGGCGGTGCTGCTGACGAACTCGCGTCGGGATGAGGAGCATCCTCATCTTCGTACCTCGGACCTGGTCTGGTAGAAGCTTTGGGCCTTGCACCTTTGCGTAGCGCGGACAAAACATGTGGAGGGCTATCATCACCATCAAAGTCGAAAGACAGAGGATTCGTAGGAGTCCCAGGCGCACCAACTCCAACATGCAAATTGAGCTGGCGATCAAACTGAAAGGAGACATGATCACGAGGGCCAGCGATCTGCACATTGACCTGGCCGCGATCAGATACCCTGCAGCACAAAGTGCGGATGCACAACACAAGCATCAGCATTGTCACGCACGCAAGGACCAAAGCATGGGGCTGCACAAGCATGTCGATGACAGACACGCCAGTGTCATCGCGGACCCACAGTCCTAAGAACCACACAAGGACCCGGTTAGCCCAGTCAGGAAGATCAGCTCCTGAGTCATCCAAGCCGTTGTCACCGTCAGCATCATCCGCAGCACGACTCAAGGCGCTCACAACAGCGATGACAATGGCCTGAATCATAGGCTTACTCACGGACGCACTCGATGTGGAGCGGACGGCACGCACAGCGTCCTTCATTGCTTGCTTGTAGCGTAGATCAGCAATCTCATCTTCTCCAACAAAGCACTCATGCACAGTATGCCAGCAACCGATGATGTGCAAAAGCATGAGCATGCGGCTCCGAGAAAGGCCTTTGGTGTTCAGGTCGGCCACATTGATCGATGTTGCAACTTTGCGAAGCATGATGATCTTATCCGCAACAAGCTGCTGAGTCCACAAGACTCGGACGCTCAAGTGCCTAACGCGGCCGACGCCGCTTCGCTCCATGATGCCTTTGGCAGCGCTGGCGTCCAGGAAGTGATGAATCTGGGGTGGCTCATCGTCGGCAATGAAAGCGAGCAGCTGCCGAACAAACAAAGCGTCACAAAGTGTAGACGTCGCCGCAAGCAATTCCGATTCCCCTGAGCTCAAAGCAATCACCCTTTGTGTACGGCTAGAGCTGTACAAAAAGGCAACCTGCTACGAACACCATCCCTGAGCTAACCGATTTGCGAGAGCCTCGATGCGCCGCCCAGTTGGCGTCCGAAAAAGCTTCTAAGCACAGGACCGGCTGGCTCGTTCTCGGAATCTCGCCGGAAACTCCGTTGTAACAGTTTCTGCGATCAAGCAAGAGACCATGGTGTTGGCCTTCAAGAAGATACTTCAACAGATGCCTCAAAGCAGCCTGCGCATTGCGTGTTGGCGAAATCATGTAGCTGCTCAACGCACGGATGGCACCCTGACACTCGATCAAATCCACTGCCAAGTACAAAAGAATGCCAATGGCACAGCGGAAAGCCTTTGCATCTGCACACGCGAGAAGCTCGCTGTTGTCTACTTCATCAAGCTGCGGCGCATGAGGAGTCTTCTTCGGAGCACTCCGTTCATCGATTTTCATCACAGAAAACAACTTTTCAAAATGCTTGGCCGAGGGTGTTAGCAGCATTTTACCGCCAGCAAGAAGTGTGTGATGCCGCTTCAAGAACGAAATCGTGTCCCCCGGAGCCTCAAGGATGCGGATGCTTACACGATACTTTGATTCAAGCGTGGGCCGGAGGCGCTCAAGAAGAAAGCGCTTGCTGCCTGCACCCAACAAGTCATCGACATGCATCTGCATACTGAACTTGGAAGCTGGCTCGCGGATCAACGAGGGCAGAGCATCACACTTCTTAAAACCCAAGGCTTCATCAAGAAAACTGGAAAATGCCAAGTACCACTCCTTGGATCCGTCCCGCTGTCCAGGCAGGACTCGTCCCAGCACGTAGCGGACACCTGCATGCTGCACAATGACCAGGCGGGTCTGCTTGACGCTAAGGTAAGCGTCACGGATGTCGAGGGCGACCATGACCCAAGGATCATCAGGGTCAGGCTCGTGACACAGGTAATGGATCGGCAACAAGCGGTTCGAAAGTGCTGTGGAGGCGGGCGAAAAGAGGTCATGACGCTCATTGAGCCACGCATACTCTCGGGCCACGTACCGGCTGCGTCGGTACCAAACTGGGGAGCCACCAAGCTCCTTCTCACGCCACGTGCGCACCATGCGCGTGGTGAGGTGAGTGGCCTCTTGACCTGCGTACTCATCGTTATGAGCTGCTGACTCAGGAAGCAGCACAGTCATGCCTTCTAGCCTAGCAATCTCAACTCCATCAGCAATCACATCCAAAGCTTCTAGCTCCTCCGGAGAGAGCTCTGGCTCAATGTCTGAAGTGCAAGGCCGACACAGCTCAGGCAGCAACTCAGTGTCACCAGACTGATCCTCAAGAAAACTTTGGTCGTAATCCTCGAGCTCATCAAGCGTGTCACCATCAAACGTCAAAGTGACATTTTCATCCTCATGCTCATAACACACTTGTCAGGGTGAGGGATCAAAAAAAAATTAAATAAGGATCAAAAAAAAATTAAATGGAAAGATCAAAAAAAAATTAAAATAAGGATCAAAAAAAAAATTAATCACGCAAAATACAGCAATTCCTGGGGCAGGGGCATCCAAAAAAAAATAAAATAAGGATCAAAAAAAAATTAAATCACTTAAAATACAGCAATTCCTGAATTTTTCCAATGGAAAACACTGTTTTCCTACGGATTTTCTTGTGTTTCCTTAGGATCTGTCTGGTTTTTGTTCTGGAAACACGATATTCCTGCGGATTCCGTGGTATTTCCCTAAGTTTTCCTTGATTTTTCGAAGGAAAAACCTATTTCGTATTACCTATGGCGTTCGTGTCATTTCTTCAGGTTTTCAGAAGGACAACATATGGTTGTTCCTCGGGAAAATCAAATTTTCCTTCCAATTTCACATTTAGGACGGATTTCCTGTTGTCGCTGTTGCTGGTATTCCGCTTCATCATCTATCTTAAACACGCCTCTCATTTGGCGATTCTGGTTCAGCATGTATCTACAAGGGCGGAGACACCCTCATTTGCTGGGGTTCAAAAAAAGGCATATGCTTCAAAGCAACCCTGCACGGCTTAAAACAGCGGGGGGGTTGGGGGGGGCGCAGCCCCCCCCATTTGCAGAGACAACGTTCACATGATGGGCTTCGAAAACACTCTTTGAATCAAGCTTGCACGTCTCGAAAAGCGCGGCGGCGGGTGTTTTGTTCTTCCGTGCCTGCTCGTGTCGCTTCTTCCGTTAGCATTCTAACCTAATATATATAACATAGTAAACCAGAAGAACGACATAAGATGGTTCGACAACACAAAAATGGTGTGACATTTTCTGACATCACAGAACCTTGCTTCTTATAGCATATAATAGCATACTAAAAATACAACAATACAATATAACGGAAGATGACATAGAACAAAACAACATCTTAGTTTATAGTGTAGTACATTGTAACATAGTACAATACAGTGTGTATATTTACAACATAATATGTAGTATATTTTATAACATTAGGTTACATTATGACATATTATGTTACGGTACATTACGATATTATGGTAAATTCGATTGGACTATGTAGTATCCTGTTGCTTGTATCTTTGTTTCTGCGATTATTTCATATTCTTTCTCTTTCGTCTTCTCCAACTTTGCTTTTTATTCTGGACTTTCTTTTTTCGCTCGTTCATTTCTTTTCTTTCTTTCTGTTGTTCTTTCTTTGTTCATCTCATACTCCATTCCTTTCTTTCTTGCTTTCTTTCTGGTTTGATTTATTTCGTTCTTCTTTGGTTCGTTCTTTCTTTCGTTCTTGCGTTCGTTCTTTCTTTCGTTTTCGTTCTTTCGTTCTCTCTCTCGTTCTATCTTTCTTTCTTTCTGTTGTCCTTTCTTTCGTCCTCTTTAGATACAGCAATTTGCCTACGTTTTCCTTGATTTTTCGTAGGCAAAACCCTATTTTCCTATTACCTATGGCGTTCGTGTCATTTCTTCAGGTTTTCAGAAGGACAACATGGTTGTTCCTCGGGAAAATCAAATTTTCCTTCCAATTTCACATTTAGGACGGATTTCCTGTTGTAGCTGTTGCTGGTATTCCGCTTCATCATCTATCTTAAGCACGCCCCTCATTTGGCGATTCTGGTTCAGCATGTATCTACAAGGGCGGAGACGCCCTCATTTGCTGGGGTTAAAAAAAAGGCATATGCTTCAAAGCAACCCTGCACGGCTTAAAACAGCGGGGGGGTTGGGGGGGGCGCAGCCCCCCCCATTTGCAGAGACAACGTTCACATGATGGGCTTCGAAAACATTCTTTGAATCAAGCTTGCACGTCTCGAAAAGCGCGGCGGCGGGTGTTTTGTTCTTCCGCGCCTGTTCGTGTCTCTTCTTCCGTTAGCATTCTAACCTAATATATATAACATAGTCAACCAGAAGAACGACATAAGATGGTTCGACAACACAAAAAATGGTGTGACATTTTCTGACATAACAGAACCTTGCTTCTTATAGCATATAATAGCATACTAAAAATACAACAATACAATATAACAGAAGATGACATAGAACAAAACAACATCTTAGTTTATAGTGTAGTACATTGTAACATAGTACAATACAGCGTGTATATTTACAACATAATATGTAGTATATTTTATAACATTAGGTTACATTATGACATATTATGTTACGGTACATTACGATATTATGGTAAATTCGATTGGACTATGTAGTATCCTGTTGCTTGTATCTTTGTTTCTGTGATTCTTTCATATTCTTTCTCTTTCGTCTTTTCCAACTTTGCTTTTTTATTCTGGACTTCTTTCTGTCTTTCGCTCGTTCATTTCTTTTCTTTCTTTCTGTTGTTCTTTCTTTGTTCATCTCATACTCCCTTCCTTTCTTTCTTGCTTTCTTTCTGGCTTGATTTATTTCGTTCTTTCTTTGGTTCGTTCTTTCTTTCGTTATTGCTTTCGTTCTTTCTTTCGTTTTTGCTTTCGTTCTTTCGTTCTCTCTCTCGTTCTTTCTTGCATGGCTTGCTTTCTTTCTTTCTTTTGTTCTTTCTTTATTTCTTTCTTTTGTTGTTTCTTTATTTCTTTATTTCGTTCTTTCTTTCGTTCTGTCTTTCTTCCTTCCTTTCTTTCTTTCTTTAGTTCGTTATTTCTTTCTTTCTTTCCTTCTCTCTCTCTCTGTCTTTCTTTCCTTCCTTTTTCCCCTTCCTTTCGCGGATACCCGTTTAATTTTTTTTGATCCTTATTTAATTTTTTTTGATCCTTATTTAATTTTTTTTGATCCTTATTTAATTTTTTTTTAACCCCTATCCCGCTATTTGACTTCACTGCAGATGCTGCTTGTCTCGGAAAAGCTGGTAAGACTGAAATTGTGCACAGTGGTGACGTGTGGATTTTGGGGGTGACCCCCATTGTCCATGGACGAGTCAATGGAAGAGGACACTACACACACGCACACATACGCACGCACACACACAGACATGTTGACAGGCACACCAACAGCGAACGGACCAACGGACCGACGAGCGCGCGAGCGGGCGAACGGACGAACCAAGCAAAAAAATTGTAAACAGAGCATAGTGCATCCGAGGACTGGGGCGATGGTGCAGGTGGCGCTCCACTCCCTCCTGGTAAAGGCAACTAGCGACTGGAAAGCTGCGAGATCACGCCTCGAGCTGCTACGTGCATTGCAAATCGATGACTCATGCTTTCGGGTTCCTAGGGTGCGATTGTGACTCTAACTGGGTGCTAGGGGTTCTGATATTTCTCAGGCTACTCGGAGGTTTGGCTTGCTGTGGCACGTAGCTCCCTGCGCCCTAGCACCACATCAGAGATACTGTAGTGAGAACCACCGCACTGGACTTGATGTTCTAATGCTCGTATGAACAGGAACAGTCACTTTATCTGAAAGCGCAGAGTTCCAGTAAAGCATTGCGGCATTGTGTGCCTCAGGCAGGGCACCCTCGCTGACCGCTTCATCGATCTTTGCTTCCACCGCCTGCAACACGATTGACTCCACGGTGCTTGGGCATGCTTGGGCATTCTAGCTGCGGGCGGGTCGGGGAACAAGAGTTTTTATTTCCGTTGAAACCAAGATCTTTCTGCAAGGCCAATCTGCCCCCGCAACCTTCTTCTTCTCTCAGGTTGGAAGACAGTGCAGACCGCTCGAGCCAAAGGGCATCAACTTATTTTCATTTTGCCAACTTGGTGTTAATACTTCATCTTTATGTACTTATTGGATTTATTTGTTATTTACATAGGTATTTCATCATTCACGAGCTTATCTATAAGCATTCCTTACACTTCCTTATCTACTAGCTACTAATAATGTTCCGTTTGCTTATATGTCCATCTACCCATTGGCTTATGCATTTCATGTGCTTACCCGGCCGGAGCGGTCAGAGGTTTCCAGCTTTCCCCTCCAAGAACCGCTTTCCCCGCCTCTGAATCCCTCCCTGGTCACCCACCCGCGCCGGGCCACTAAACATTGGATTTTCTGGCGAGTGGGCCTTCCGGGACCCCTTCAACATGCATCGCTCTTTTGAACTTCCCAGCCCGGCTTCCACTTTGGCACTGCCGCTGCTGGGCTCCCACTAAGTCACTTGTGCTGCAAACTACAAGGGACGCTTCCCACAGTGGACATGGATCAGACACGGCTGAAATTGCTCCCTTGACACACGAAGTCAAAGTGGACGACACGTCAGTGCAAGAGCTGCATTGGCCTTCAGCTCGTCGCGAAGCGCTGCTGCACGCTCGCGAAGCTGGGTGAGTCGCGCAGACTCCATGGCAAAGACAGGTAGGGAAGCGTGGTCAGGTTGCAGTGTCTTGCGTCTTACATGTCTTACTATGGAACCTGGGAGCACTGGGCCCATCATGAGACAGAGCCCTTCACCAAGATGTAGCAGAACCTTTCTGTACAATCACTGGTGTTGGGGAGATTTTTGCTGCTGACTCATGCACCTGCGAGCCAGTGCCAACCAGTTCCAGCGCAAACATCGACACCATATACTTTGCCTTTGTATGGGTGTTGATAAGTGTTGTTATCCGGGCTCGGGGAAGGACGGGCTGCGAAGCATCGCACTAAACGTTCACGGAAGTGTACAGGTCGGTATCGTTCTCGACATTCCACTGCGAATCCAACTTATTGATCAATGTTCTCTGGAGATCTCATGAAATCATATCGTAGCTTTGTCAAGACTGAATATGAAGCGTCCCTGCAAAAACGCTGCATTTGGCCCACCTGAAAGTCGAACTCATATTGTGGCATGGCTTCCCGTGTCCTGCCTCACCGCGACGAACAACAGATGCTGAGCCATCCAGGACTCCAGCCCAAGGGTGCCGAGGCATCACGGCACTTGCACCGATTGACCACCCAAGGTCGTAAACTTGAGTCCCGACTGTACACTTACGCAAATTCCCGCACCCCCACCCTCGAAGTCCTCAAAACTGCTCTCGATCGTTAATCCTCCCGAGTTCCCTACGCCCAAAGTCCTAATGTCGACTCTCAATTCAAGTACACACCCAAATTCCCTATGCCCAAGCCCCTTAACTTGCTTCTCGATCGACATCCATAGACTGCAACCCCACCTTTACTCCCTACAAGTATGCCCTAAACCAGGCCGAAATTTGCAACATTAGCTTACAAAGTTCAAGATGCATCTAGAAGCGCAGCCACTTGACCCAAAACAGCTGTGGCAGCCAAACCACATGCAAATACTTCAGAACTCACATAGCCCCGACGGCAAAGGCCCGGGATGTAGCTGCATGTTGGCTTCTGAACACACGATTCTCCGAGCTCCAGTCATCGTGCCCGGGGGCGGCAAGATCGTAAGCCCTGTGATTCGGACCTGAACGTCTCTTCTACTTGGCACCAAACGGCGCAAGACTCAGAAATGTGGAGCTGTTCTCTTGTGCAATGCACAACAGGCGGCTGTGTCAAGTCAGGCCAGCCTGATCGGGACCTTCTCTTCCGAGCAAGGACGAGCAAACCTGGGGTGGAGCATTGTTCACCCCTCTAGCGGATCGTCAGTGCCTGCACATTCAAACCTTGTATTGTTCGCAGACTTTATCACACAAGCCCGAGATGTTCATGGCCCCGACGCCCCAGTGACACTTCAGGTTGGTGCGCATCTCGCACATGTAGCCTGAGTTGGTCTGCACCTTCTAATTCCGCAGCTGCTGAGGATGCAAAGCAACGAGTGACAAGAGCTGGCAAGAAGGGGCATGCCAGCGCCAACTCGAAGCAGACTCACACACAAAGGAAAAATAGGCTCGCTGCCCATGTTCGAGCGCCAGTAAGGAGAGCCCATTGTCCGCATCCCGTTGACATGCCACTTCATGCCTTTCACACGCAACGCCCAGCTCGCAGAACAACGTCGCTGTATCTGGCAGAAGTGAAGACCTATCACATGCCCTGAGGCACCGTTGAGGAAGTTTGGAGAACCAATCTTCGAAGCTTCGTGCCTGAGTTCGCATCAACTACTGTCGTGTTAGCTGCACCGTGATGGAAAGCTTGAGCAGCCAGCCAGATGCCTTGGTCAGATAGCACCTGGAAACTCTCCGGATCATAGCCTTGCATTTGAGGCCATCTGTGGTCATGTGAAGAGCCGGCCTTGAACTTGCAGGGCTGCCGCATCAACCTTCGCTGCTGCAGGCAGGACAGCATATCACACAGCATCTATGCGGAGAGTGTTCGGGAAACGACTGTGCGGTTCTGCAAGCAAAAGCTGTACACTGCATGCAATTTGACTAGGGCAAGCTAAATACTGATAGTTATAGATCGCAATGTGATAATGAAGACTGCAGTGTCCACGGCTGCTTGAGTTCAGATAATTTTGAGGACCCATTGCTTGGCATGAAGGGAAAAGATCTGGTCCGCGGAGAGTGCCTACTACAGCTTCTAGGGCAATAACTTTTTCCGAATTTGGGGAAGAACAGCAGCTGCTGCCCAAATGGACTCTTCGAGTTGCTGGACTGCTTCGTAGCAGCGGCACACTTCGCGTTGGTTTTCGTCGCCTCTTTGACGGCTGTAACAGCCTGCTCCCGTTTGGCAGCCTCCAGCTGTTTTCTCATATTTCCAGCCTTCGCCATTCTTGCATGGTTTGCCACACGTCTTCTCTCATGCGTGGTCTGCAGCCGCGTCTGGGTGGGCAAAAGCAAGAAGCTTAAGCGAAGCCACCACATGGGGAAGTCCGATGCAGTGGATTTGCCCCTGCTTGGCATAGTCCAGATCGTATTACTCCCAAGACTCAGGGCCCTTGTAGCGACTGGAGATTCTTTGCGGCCGAAAGAGGGGATTCTTTGAATGGAAGGTCATCTCGGCCACCTTTGCAACCAGTTCTTGGACGCAATAATGGATGCTCAGAACCTTTTGCTTGGTCACTAATGCATGCGTCTCCGTGTCTTCGAAGCCAGCATCGCGACGGCCTGTTATGCATCGGTTGCCAGTATTCATCGCAGAGCAGGTTGTGTTGCCAAACTTCCAATAGATGTTGCCTTCCAAGGCCATTTCAAAACATTGGCAAAATCTGAAATTGACCCCTGGAAAGTTCTAAGCCCACCAGCACTTCACGCACGCACAACTGTAGAAGAGGAAGTCTTGAAGTTGTAGCTGTCCAAGGCGCAAACTGAAGACATACTGCGCGCGCAGTTGATACTTCTCTGTCGCTTCTTGCTCGTTCTTTATCCTGTACTGTGCATTGTTCAAGGTAGGATAGAACATCATGTCGTACTTCTGGAACAGGAGCTGCCGCACCTCCAGCTCACTGGGCTCATGGATTGTGTCCCATTGCACGTTCACGTTCACCTGGGCTTCGTGATCTTCCCGGGCTCCGAACTGAGAACCCAGTTCATCACGAAGCCCGGATGAACATGCAGTGGGCACAATCCATGAGCCCAGTGAGCTGGAGGTGCGGCAACCCTTGTTTCAGAAGTATAACCTGAAGCTCTACTCGACCCTGACAACAGCAACAACGAGGACTAGTAGCACATTGCTCGGAAAGCCATGATGGCGAGATGAGAGGCTGCAGCGGCGGGAATGTTGCGACCATATGGAACTACTGGTGTTCGGATAGATTGTGGAACGTTTGTCGTGTGTAGTGTCGGCAGAAGTGCATCCAGCAGGCGACAAGAGAATGTGCATACTTTCGGAACTTTTCTGACCGGACCCTACTACGTTTTATAAACTATAGCTCTAGAACTTAAAATCAAGGATCCTCTCAAAACAATCGTGAAGGTTACGGCATAAGCCATCCTTGAAGCTCTGGCGCATGGCAGCAAAATTCAAGCACTACGTCTTCAGGTAGGAGAGCAAAGGCGGCATCGTGAACCTTGATTTTGCTTAGAAGCCTGAAGAAGGCCATCGGAATCACGTCCTTGCGTTTATCCTTAGCTGTATTTGTTGCTTCAATGAGTTTCGATGCCAGTAGCAAGGAATCCCATGATTATGGGTCATTGTGGCTGGTACCATGATTATCAGCTCTTCCAAAAGACTTGCAGTTGCATTCCGCATTCAACGCGGCCTACTTAGATGAAATGTCAGGACAGGCCAGCTTAGAACAACTGATACCTATAGGCGCAACGAGCACGTGCATCTGGAGCCCAGCAGAAGGGGTCTGGCAACTGTGCCGAACAATGATCTAGACAAGACAAAATGTAACGCAACATGCGCACGCTCACCATACTCTCTCTCTCTCTCTCTCTCTGTCTCTCTGCGTCTCTCTCTTTTGCTTTTGCGAGGGTAAAGGAAGAGAGAGCGACCCTCTTCCCCGGCGCTTCGAGCCCCCCACCTCTATCTCTTTCTACTGTTTCTGTTTTTCTCGCTCACACACACACACACACACTCTCTCTCTCTCTCTCCTCACTCGCTCTCTGCAACCTGCACGTGGATCAGAATGGACATTGTAATTGTAGATTGTAGAATTTGCAAAGAGAGTGACCTTCAAAGTGCGCTGCTTCAACACCTTTTGCAGCCAACCGACAAACAATTTGTTTTTCCGGTCAGTTCGGCAACAGATTTCTTTGGCGAGGAGCGCCTGGAGAGAACGTTTGTCACACATGCACAATCTTCAATTCTTGAAGACCTCGAAGCGGCTGCCCATCCGTGCTGTGGCCTTCATCAAACACCTCTGACAGGTGGTAGAAGACAACTGCAGGCACTGATATCATGTTCCAGGCTTTCGCTGGCACTGGGCTAGAGTTTGTCTCCATTGTGCTGCACGCACTGGCTGTGCACCCAGAGCTGCTTGACTTGCCCGTCAGCTTGGCCATCTTGCTCAGATGCCAGCGTCTTTGTGCATTAGGTGGCACTGACTTCAGGCCTTCTAGAATAGGAAGCGCGGGTGTGCCTGGGTCTAACCACCGATCCTTCCTGGGCGGTAGGCTGGGGAACACCGGGAGACCAGGGGGAGAGTCCATGTCCACGGTTCACAAAAAACTCCGCTACCGATTTGCCGCTTGATGCTGCGGATGTCGTGATGGTCGCGGAACAACACTCGACATGGAATGCATGCCACCCCGATTTTCCCGTGACAGTGTGTTCTCGGAGGGAGGTGGGGCTCACGAATTGGCAAGCGGCTGATGCAAGAGCTGTGCGACCAGCGGCATTTGATGCACCTAAGCCATGAACGATCATGAACGGGCTGCTGGCTTTCGCACGTGTTGCCCTGCAACAGTGGCTTGCTGCTGCAAAATGAAACCCACACGACTTCGGAGGCCTCTCCGCAGACTCAGACTCAGCCGACAAACTCAAGACATCCCCTCCAAATTGCAGTTGGATGCCGAACTA